ATTCAGCCAAAAGAGGTCAAGTACTGAAATTGGATGAGAAGATCTCGCTCATAATTGGTATTCCAATCTATCTCAAAGGTTTTTCAGTAGAGTTGAGGACAGTAAAGTTCCTCCACACCAAACTCTTCAAACCATGTCTGTAAGCAGCTTGCTCCAAGGACATAGTCATGTCGGAACACGAAAGGGTCTTCTCCAAAGTGTTACCACAAGGTTGGAAGTGCTGAATTGTCTACAATGTCTTTGAATGCTGTGGTGTTAACAGCACCCTTCATTGGAAACACCTGAACTTAATGATCTGGAGAATCTCCACCATATTTTTGAACATATAGTAGGTGTGATGGCAAACCATGCCTATAAGGAGCTTGGTCCCAGGACACAGTCATGCCTAAACATAAAAGGGTCTTCCCCAAAGTGTTACTACAAGGTTGGAAGTGCTGAATTGTCTACAATGTCTTTGAATGCTGTGGTGTTAACAGCACCCTTCATTGGAAACACCTGAACTTAATGATCTGGAGAATCTCCACCATATTTTTGAACATATAGTAGGTGTGATGGCAAACCATGCCTATAAGGAGCTTGGTCCCAGGACACAGTCATGCCTAAACATAAAAGGGTCTTCCCCAAAGTGTTACTACAAGGTTGGAAGTGCTGAATGGTCTACAATGTCTTTGAATGCTGTGGTGTTAACAGCACCTTTCATTGGAAACACCTGCACTCAATGATCTGGAGAAGCTCCACCATATTTTTGGACATATAGTAGGTGTGACGTCAAATCATGTCTATAAGGAGCTTGGTCCCAGGACACAGTCATGCCAGAACATAAAAAGGTCTTCTCCAAAGGTTGGAAGTGCTGAAATGTCTACAAATGTCTTTGAATGCTGTTAACAGCACCCTTCTCTGGAAACTCCTGAACTCCACCATATTTTTGGACATATAGTAGGTGAGATGGAAGACAAGGGGAACCTGCCAGTCTATAAAATGCCAGAAGACTCAATTAGTGCTGATGTGGCCTTGGCTCCCTAAGAAGCAATGGCATCCTGGTCCCCAGCTGGCAGCCGGTTAGGGCCCAGCCGGAGGTTCATGTTTAATATTTGCTCTGCTGACAGACCAGGGACAATGACGGTAATCTGTGAGTTTCGAGCTTCTCACATCAATGCCCTCCCTCTCATTATCAGCCCATTCACATCTCATTTGTTGTATTCATGTTAACTCAGTGAAAACACAAATCCTGCCATCAAAGGGGTCCCCACTCCCTTCCTGCTCTGCTTTGAAGTGGAGGTGTTTGGGCCATTATCCCTATGTGAAGTTAGTTTTTGGATTTCTCAAGTGATCATCTGCCTCAGCATGGGACTGGCCCTCAGAGGAAGACAAACTAGTCCGATCCCTAGAGGGGGGTTAGTGACTCGGAGAAGCCCTCGGGGTGCGATAATCACTGACCCCCTCCGCCATGGAGCTGATTAGTGGCAGGTTATAATACAATGCAGTATTTATCCGTAATACCAGAATGGCAGATAATGGACAGGAATGTCCATTAATGACAAAATACCCATACACAGAAAATGCTCAGCCAATCAGTCAAGTGCCCTTTTTTTTCTTTTGAAAAAGTCTGTTTTCATCTTTTTTTTAATCCTTTCTCCGTCCTTAGTGATGCTGATCTCCTGCAACCCCTTCGTAGCCAATTCCTGTCTACATACAATCCAGCGATAGCTGCATGGCATTGCTCAGTGACCATGAGGGAACCTATTGATGAGGGTCATCACAGCTGCTCGGAAGCTGACGTGACTGGGTGACCACTAGTGATGACTGGAGTGCTTGGGGTGAAATCGCTAAATTAAAATTTTATTAAAGCAGAATTTCTTGATTTCACACACTGAACTGCTAAAACCTCAACTAAATCAAAATACTTAATTATTGAATTTATGTGTATTTAATTTACATTTTTATTTAATTAAATTTAATTAAATTATTTTATTTCATTTTTACTTCTTTTCTGCTTTTTTATTTCTGGGCTGTGAAGAAAATGGAAACATTAGGCTGATAAAGTCCAAGGTAGTAGAAGCACCCTTCGATAACCCTCAGGAGACATTTTGATTTCACACACCGAGCTGCTAAAATTTGCTTTAAAAAAATTTTTTTTTTCTTTTACCTGTTTCTTTTTATTCTTGGGGGAGGGGGGCTGCGGGGCGAAGATCAAATGACTTAATTTAGTATTGAAATTGTGGGGGGGGGGGGGTTCTGTTTTGTGTGTATTTAATTAGAAGTTTTATTTAATTATATTATTTTATTTAATTTTTCTTTTTAATTTTACTTTTTTCTGCTTTTTATTTTCCTTTCTGTAAAGACAATGTGAAAAAGATGAGGTATTTTTCTAGGCACAATAAGAGGTGCAAAGCAGTTGAAAACAACCTTCGATAACCCTCAGGAGCCATTTTATTTCACACACTAAGGTGCTAAAAATTTGCTTTAAAAAATTACAAGTTTTTTTTCTTTTATGAGTTTTTTTTTGGGGGGGGGGGATGCAGATGAAATGACCCAATTTTGGTATTCAATTTGTGTATTTTTTGTGTATCTCCTACAATTTTTAAATACAAAGAAAAACAAAGTAACATTGTTTATAAACATTGCTCAAACAGGAGATAGAGAGACAAAAAGTAACATTGTTTATAAAAATTGATCAGACAGGAGATAGAGAAATACAAAGTAACATTGTTTATAAACATTGCTCAAACAGGAGATGGAGAGTTACAAAGTAACATGGTTTATAAACATTGATCAGACAGGAGATAGATACAAAGTAACATTGTTTATAAACATCGATCATACAGGAGATAGATACAAAGTAACATTGTTTATAAACATCGATCAGACAAGATAGATACAAAGTAACATTGTTTATAAACATTGATCAGACAAGATAGATACAAAGTAACATTGTTTATAAACATTGATCAGACAGGAGATGGAGAGATACAAAGTAACATTGTTTATAAACATTGATCAGACAGGAGATGGAGAGATACAAAGTAACATTGTTTATAAACATTGATCAGACAGGAGATGGAGAGATACAAAGTAACATTGTTTATAAACATTGATCAGACAGGAGATGGAGAGATACAAAGTAACATTGTTTATAAACATCAATCAGACAGAAGATAGATACAAAGTAACATTGTTTATAAACATTGTTCAGGCAGGAGATTGTTTATATACAAAGTAACATTTTTTATAAACATTGATCAGACAGGAGACAGAGAGATACAAAGTAACATTGTTTATAAACATTGCTCAAGTGGAAGACAGAGAGATACAAAGTAACATTGTTTGTAAACATTGATCAGACAGGAGACAGAAAGATACAAAGTAACATTTTTTATAAACATTGTTCAGGCAGAAGATAAATATAAAGTAACGTTGTTTATAAACCTTGATCAGAGGATAAAGAGATACAAAATAACGTTGCTTATAGTATTGGTATAGACAGGAGATCCATATAACAAAATAACTATTACTTTGTAATCTACTCTGCTGGATTCATCTGCAGGTCAGAGAGATGATCTTCCATCAGCATGTGATGTCAGTTAAAGCACCCTGATTAATAACCAGTTGTTGACTGCCTAGTACATATACTGCAAGCAGGTGGCAGCTACAGACTAACCCCCCCCCCCCCGGGTCACAACGATCTTGAGTTTGAAATCGTGCAACTTACAGTGAAGTCGCACAATTTCACAGTCGGGTGAGATGCCGATATCAGGTGTGATTTGCACAGACATCTGACACAGATGTCTATGCAAATCGAACCAAGAGTAGTGCATGTACTACTATAGAAATCGGTATGGCTCCGACCAAGTCTATGATCTCTATAATTGCAGATAATAGGGTGCGACTTGGCATGCAATTTGCAAGTCGCATGGCATGCAAATCACATGCCAATTGGCATCCAGTGTGACCGGGGTGTAAGTGACGAACCTGTATGTCACTTAGCACATTCACACTGGCTGTTATGAATACATTCATAACAGCTGTGATTCCTATAGTGATGCTGTGATTGGCCCACAACTGTCACATGGTACCTGGGCCAGTCACAGCATCCTGTACCATGTGATTAGCTGTAGCCAATCACATATTGGGACATATCGTAGAATGCTATTTGGCCTAAATTTATGAAGATATTTGATTTTTATTTTATTGGATATGTTTTATAACAGAAAGTAGAAAATAATGCTTTTTTCTGTATTTTAATTTTTATTTATTATTATTTTTATTATTATTATTATACAGGATTTATATAGCGCCAACTGTTTGCTCAGCGCTTTATAATATAAAGGGAGACAGTACAGTAACAATACAGTTCAATACTAGAGTGATAGGAGGGCCCTCCTCCTTGGAGCTTACAATCTAAGAGGGAGGGGCTGGTGGTACAAAAGGTAATAACTGTGGGGGATTGACTGGTAGGGGGAATAGAAGATTCCATTATTAGCTGAGGGCAGGATAGGCTTCCCAGAAGACATGGGTTTCAGAGATCGCCTAAAAGTGAGCAGAGTAGGAGATAGTCTGATAAATTGGGGTAAAGAGTTCCAGAGGATGAGGGAAGCTCTGGAGAAGTCCTGAAGACAAGCATGGGAGAAGTAGACAAGGGAGCTAGAGAGCAGGAGGTCGTGCGAGGAGTGGAGAGGACAGTTTAGGTGATATTTGGAGACAAGATCGGTGATGTAATTTGCGGCAGAGTTATAAATGGTTTTATATGTTGTTATTAATGTTTTGAATTGTATCTGGTGGGCAATGGGAAGCCAGTGGAGGGATTGACAGAGAGGGATGGAGGACACTGAATGGAGGCCAGTGGAGGGATTGGCAGAGAGGGATGGAGGACACAGTGGAGACCAGTGGAGGGATTGGCAAAGAGGGATGGAGGACACAGTGGAGACCAGTGGAGGGATTGACAGAAAGCGGTGGAGGACACTGAATGGAGGCCAGTGGAGGGATTGGCAGAGAGGGATGGAGGACACAGTGGAGACAAGTGGAAGGATTGGCAGATAGGGGTGGAGGACACTGAATGGAGGCCAGTGGACGGATTGGCAGAGAGGGATGGAGGACACAGTGGAGACCAGTGGAGGGATTGACAGAGAGGGATGGAGGACACAGTGGAGACCAGTGGAGGGATTGATAGAGAGGGATGGAGGACACAGTGGAGACCAGTGGAGGGATTGACAGACAGATACAGAGATTACATAATAATAATAATAACAATAATAATAATAATACTAATAAAACAGTGGTGATTAAATACCACCAAAAGAAAGTTCTATTTGTGTAAAAAAAATTATATAAATTTCATTTTTGTTGCATCAACATGCAATTGCCAGTTAAAGTAGCACCGAATAGCAAAAAAACGGCTTGTTCATGGAGTGGAGACCAGTGGAAGGATTGGCAGAGAGGGATGGAGGACACAGTGGAGACCAGTGGAGGGATTGGCAGAGAGGGATGGAGGACACAGTGGAGACCAGTGGAGGGATTGGCAGAGAGGGATGGAGGACACAGTGGAGGCCAGTGGAGGGATTGGCAGAGAGGGATGGAGGACACAGTGGAGACCAGTGGAAGGATTGGCAGAGAGGGATGGAGGACACAGTGGAGACCAGTGGAGGGATTGACAGAGAGGGATGGAGGACACAGTGGAGACCAGTGGAGGGATTGGCAGAGAGGGATGGAGGACACAGTGCAGACCAGTGGAAGGATTGGCAGAGAGGGATGGAGGACACAGTGGAGACCAGTGGAGGGATTGACAGAGAGGGATGGAGGACACAGTGGAGACCAGTGGAGGGACTGATAGAGAGGGATGGAGGACACAGTGGAGACCAGTGGTGGGATTGACAGAGAGGGATGGAGGACACAGTGGAGACCAGTGGAGGGATTGACAGACAGATACAGAGATTACATAATAATAATAATAATAATAATAATAATAATAATAATAATAAAACAGTGGTGATTAAATACCACCAAAAGAAAGTTCTATCTGTGTAAAAAAAAAATTATATAAATTTCATTTTTGTTGCATCAACATGCAATTGCCTGTTAAAGTAGCGCTGAATAGCAAAAAACGGCTTGTTCATGGGGGGGGGCTAAAACCTTCCGGAATTCAAGTGGATAAATAAAATGTTGCTATTTAACCCCTCATTAACCTATAGTTCACCCTGATTTGACCTAATTAATTCCTTTTTCCCTTAAATAATATTTTCCTGCTGGTATAGTCAAGAGCCACCTTATTGGCACTTTAAAGCCTACCGCCCATCATTCAAAGGCAGATTGAAAAAAATTGCTAGGACCGTGAATTTTGAACCCACAGGATTCTCCTGGAACCCATGGTAGTGGCTATCCTAATGTTGATGGGGGAATATTGATGGGGAAAAGGATGCCTATTTTGCTGTGCCCTCTGCAGACACAGGCCTACTGTACCGTATGGTAAACCCAGCCCTGGGTAGGGGGTTTTAAGCTCAACTCCCACAGGTGTTATCACGGCGCTGCGGTTCATGGATGGAGTCACAACCCCGGAACTCGTGTCCATCACAGACATCATTCCAATGCACCAAGGAGCCAGAGTCGTGGCTTACAGAGAGCTTCCGGAGTAATAAAATATTACTGGTTTAATGTCACTAAAGATTTAAAATAAAGTAAAAATATTCTAGCTTTGCCTAGAGTTGGGTTTTAACTTTTCAGGAAAACCTGAAGTATCACTTTTTTGGGTGGATTGATCCTTTAACTTCATAGGGATTAAAGTGATTATTTAGACAGCTTTCCTGTACAGAGATGGAACGTATGACCTGGGGCAGGATGGAGATCTCTGTAGGAGAAGGATAACCCAGCGGTAGGGGTGAACAATCACACAGCTCTGTCCCCGCACACACACCCAATGTATACCAGGACAAGCTTTGTTCAGGTCAAGAGGACAACTTACAAAGGATAAACAGCAAACAATTTGCTGTCACTTGCACATGCTGCAGATGTTGTGGTGGATAAGAGATTGAACCAGCATATGGGATCTGCCACAGAAGGCTGGAATGTGCACATGTGTATTGGGAGAGCTGTACTGTCACCTTGTCAGACTGCCACCAAGATGCTAGTTGAATTTCTGTGTTCTTTGGAAGTTAAATGTTACTCACTGTTCTCAGTTGACTAGAGTCAGTGGGTCAATATTCTGGGATCCACAAGTGTCAGTGGATCATTGTTCTGTTCTGGGGTCCCAAGTGTGAGAGGACCATTGTTATAGGATCCCAAGTGTCAGTGGGTCATTGTTCTGGGGTCCCAAGTGTCAGTGGATCATTGTTCTGGGGTCACAAGTGTGAGTGGACCATTGTTATAGGATCCCAAGTGTCAGTGGGTCATTTTTCCGGGGCCCAAGTGTCAGTGGATCATTGTTCTGGGGTCACAAGTGTGAGTGGACCATTGTTATAGGATCCCAAGTGTCAGCGGGTCATTGTTCTGGGGTCACAAGTGTGAGTGGACCATTGTTATAGGATCCCAAGTGTCTGTGGGTCATTGTTCTGGGGTCCCAAGTGTCAGTGGATCATTGTTCTGGGGTCACAAGTGTGAGTGGACCATTGTTATAGGATCCCAAGTGTCAGTGGGTCATTGTTCCGGGGCCCAAGTGTCAGTGGATCATTGTTCTGGGGTCACAAGTGTGAGTGGACCATTATTATATTATTATTATTATTATTATTTTTATACAGGATTTATATAGCATCAACGGTTTGCTCAGCTCTTTACATTATTGATTATAGGATCCCAAGTGTCAGTGGATCATTGTTTTGGAACCCTAAGTGTCACTGGATCATTGTTCTGGGATCCCCAAGTGTCAGTGGGTCATTGTTCTGGAATTCCCAAGTGTCAATGGACCATTGTTCTTGGATCACAAGTGTCAGTGGGTCATTGTTCTTGGATCACAAGTGTCAGTGGGTCATTGTTCTGGGATCCCCAAGTGTCAGTGTGTCATTGTTCTGGGATCCCCAACTGCCAGTGGATCATTGTTCTTGGATCACAAGTGTCAGTGTGTCAATCTTCTGGAACCACATGTGTCAGTGGATTCTTGTTCTAGGGTCCCAAGTGTCAGTGTGTCATTATTCTGGGATCCTCAAGTGTCAGTGGATCATTGTTCTTGGATCACAAGTGTCAGTGGGCCATTGTTCTTGGATCACAAGTGTTAGTGTGTCATTGTTCTTGGATCACAAGTGCCAGTGGATCATTGTTCTTGGATCACAAGGGTAAGTGGGTCACTGTTCTTGGATCAAAAGTGTCAGTGGGTCTTTGTTCTTGGATCACAAGTGTCAGTGGGTCATTGTTCTTGGATCACAAGTGTCAGTGGGTCATTGTTCTTGGATCACAAGTGTCAGTGGGTCATTGTTCTTGGATCACAAGTGTCAGTGTGTCATTGTTCTTGGATCACAAGTGTCAGTGGGTCATTGTTCTGGGATCACAAGTGTCTGTGGGTCAATCTTCTGGAACTACAAGTGTCAGTGTGTCATTGTTCTGGGATCCCCAAGTGTCAATGGATTATAGTTCTGGGGTCCCAAGTGTCAGTGGATTATTGTTCTGGGGTCCCAAGTGTCAGTGGATCATTGTTTTGGAACCCTAAGTGTCAGTAGGTCATTGTTCTGAGATCCCCAAGTATCAGTGGGCCATTGTTCTGGGATCCCAAGTGTCAGAGGATCACTGTTCTGAGATCCTCAAGTGTCATGGATCTGGGACTCCTAAACTTCATATGTTGTAGATCTAGGACACTGAGCGTCAGTGAGTCATTGTTCTGGATTACCTGGTGTTGGTGTTCCCTGTTCTGAGATCCTCAAGTGTCATAGATTTGTAAATGTAGGACCCCAAGAGGCAAGTCTCCCCAGCAAAGACAAAGACAACAGAAGTTTAACCCTTTTCTGCTCCACTAAATAAAAGACTTTTATTGCTTTTTTTTGTCACTGTGGTAGAGATCCTTTTCACTTCCTGTCCCAGTGACAACACAGAAAATGAAGGGAAATATGTACAGTGTGGACATACAAAGAAATAAAAAGCTTCCCAAGCTCCTAACACATCCCCACCAAAACCACAAACTATGCAATTGAATATATTGGCCACTGTACCCCTTTACTATCAGTCTCCACTCCCCCAATAGAGTCTACAATCTAATATCCCAAATCAGCATATTTTGTTACATAACATTTATTTATAATAATGTGGTCAAACACCAGAGCCTCCACAGAGGACTTGGGGAGCCCTTTCCCGGAGAGACAGGGGTCTCTTTAGGACAATTTTTCTCAACCTTTTTATCCCTGAGGAACCCTTAAAATAATTTTCATGTCTTTGGGACTCCTGCTAAAACCAGTTCAGTGAAGGTCAGTGGGAAAATGCCCCTTACATTGGTAGTCAATGGGAAGAATGCCCCCCCCCCCCCCCCCCCTTACAGTGATGGTCAGAATGTCACCCAGACAGACCATTCAAAACATCACTGGTGTCATGCAGCTGGCTCTGCTATTGACATTGGCCCCAGAGCTATGCAGGCACCATGAACTGGGAGCCACAGCTCTAGGAACCCCTAGCAACCTCTGTAGGAACACTAGGGTTTCATGGAACCCTGGTTGAAAATAGCTGCTATAGAAGTACTAACCATTTGGCCACCACCTAAAATACGAGCCACAGCTCAAGGAACCCCTAGCAACCTCTGAAGAAACCCTAGGGTTTCATGGAACCCTGGTTGAAAATAGCTGCTATAGAAGTACTAACTATTTGGTCACCACCTAAACTATAAGCCACAGCTCAAGAAACCCCTAGCAAACTCTGGAGGAACCTCAGGGTTCTATGGAAGCTTGGTTGAGGATAGCTGCTATTAGAGTACCAACCATTTGGCCACCACCCAATGTACAGGAAATACTATCATGAATTATGGAACAAGGAAGCAAAATATGATTGTCACATCAAAATTGCTTTCGGGAAATCTATAGAAGAATAACTCCCGATGAGTACTGAGTGATAAAACATTGGCTTCTTCTATGTAAGATTACTGTGCGGCACCGGGGGAAGATGATCTAAGCTCATACACAAGGCAATACAAATGGAAATGGTACATCAATACCTAAAGCTTTGCCAAGTTGTGACAGTTCCTGCCTCTATTATTCCTGAATATGATGAATTAAGCCTCTGTGCTCTTCTCCAGCTTGTATCACAGTGTATAAATAGCAATTTGCCTGATGTGCCCTCTATTTCAGATTCATTATTTGTATTTAAGATTTGTCCGTTTCGGCTGGGGATGGATCGGATTGTCCTCCTGTTCCGGCATAGAGACTGTGTACAGAAGGATTATCAATCGAATGGCAGCACAGAACACATTAGAGGGGGGATGAATATATGGGCGATAACTAGGGTCGCAGTGCAACCTCTTCTCCCTGCACAGTCTCAGACAATCGTGAAGTCTCTAAGCAGGAATGGCAGATGTGACAGTTAGCTAGCGGCACATGGAGGGCCCATTCAGAACTTGGCGTACTGGTCCGTTGAGCTAAGGGACCGGCATTAAGAGCACATTTTTTCATGGAGCTGTATTGCCCTAGTGCATTGAGGTGCCATCTAAAATGAATAGCACCATGAAACGCTAAAACACATAGGGGGCTATGTACTAAAGCCAATGACTGCAATATCTGGTGCACTTGTGTATAGAAACCAATCAGCTTCCAGATTTTATTGCCAAAGGTTAATTGAACAAGCTGAAGTTAGAAGCGGATTGGCTGCCATGCACAGCTGCACCAGATTCTTTGTGCTCCAGTTTTAGTAAGTCTACCCCATAATGTACGTTAACATGCATTGCACTAACGTGTGCATTGTTGCTGCATCAACCTTTAAGAAGAATGGCACCACAATGCGCTAAATCACATAATGTGCATTAACAT